CTTGGCTATTTAGATTTGGTATTGGGGAAGCATTATCAAATACAAGGTACTCAACAGTTAGAATAATAGAATTGGAAGAGACCACAAGGATCATCAAGTCCAGCCAGTCCCATGCAGAAAAAGCACAATCAAAGCATTTTCAGCAGATGCCCATCCAGCCTCTGTTTAAAAGCCTTCAAAGAAGCAGCATCCACCACACTCCAAGGCAGGGAGTTCCACTGTTAAACACATCTTACAGTCAGGAAGATCTTCCTACTGTTCAAGGGAAATCTTTTTCCTGTCATTTGAACACATTGCTCCACTGAGTAATGGGGCACAATTATTGTATATTCTGGCGTATAAGACTACATTTTAACCCAAGAAGATCTTCTCAAAAGTCAGGGGTCATCTTATGTGTGGGAATAGTCTTATACACGGGAGTCGTCTTATATGCTGGAGTAGCCTTATGAATGGGAGTCGTCTTATGTGTGGGAGTAGTCTTATACGTCAGGAGTCGTCTTATAGAGCGGATACTGAAACTTCTAATTCGGATTGGAGAATCTGTGGTTGCTGCATATTGTGGGAGGAGCTCAAAAATGGCAGTGGCCGCATCCCTGCCGTATGTAGTAACTGTATGAAAGCATTAAGGGCGATGCTGTACAAGTATGGTAGAAGAAAATCCATCCATCAGGATTCGTGGACTTAATGCAGTCCCGATGGTGAGGTGAAGGAGTGCCTCACTGGGAAGGTGTAAGTGAAGGGCGGAGGAAGCTGCAGGCGTCCGGGGCGCCTAGGGTATGAAAAAAAGAGATAGAGTGGCTCTGGGGCCAGAAAAACACAACTCTTTTACCTGTCTGGCTCGCCCTTGTATCCTATTACTGTACCTCCTCCTCTGCCTCTCAGATCTCGCTCCTGAAGTCTGCAGTGAAGTGGTGCAGGTGCGCATGTGCGAGATTTGAGAGGCAGAGAAAGAGGTACAGTAATAGGAAAATTGCCATATTGAAATCAAATCTGATGCTTTTAAAAAATTTATTTGGTGTGTGTTGGAAGAGGGGTAGTCTTATACAGTGAGTATATCCCAAACTCTATATTTTAACTGGAAAAGTTGGGGGTTGTCTTATATGCCCAGTCATCTTAATCGGAAATGATTCAGCTTTTCAAACCAGTGTGGATGGATTTCCTTAAGTTTCCTTTCTCTCCCACATCAGTTCTGGGCGAGAGCCGCTGTTTAACCCAGTGTTGATGGATTCCCTTCAGTTTCCTTTCTGTCCTGCATCAGTCCTGGGCGAGAGCTACTGTTTAACCCAGTGTGGATTGATTTCTTCCCTTTGCTTCCCCCCCCTTCTGGAATAAAACAACTACCAATGAAACGGGAAATAACACTTTGAAACCATTAACGAAGGATTCAGAAGTCTCAGAAGTTTTGAAAAGTTTTGAACTTTTTTTTCTGTGAAAATCAGAATTGACTTTAGATCCGAACCACCAGTTTCAAACCATTTTTAAAAATCAAACAAGCCTACTAGTTGTGGTTGAAAGAAATTCCACTGTGGTTATTGGAATGGCTACAAGTTATATCCTTGAAAGATAGTTCACATGTGACCTTACATAATCCATTTAAGTTCATACCAAGGATCCGACAAGATCACAGCTATCCAAATGGAGGGGGAAAAGCATTGATTTCTTAGCCCTGGAGATGCACTTCTTTATGCAGAATGTATATTCCGTTCACACAAAGCCTGCTTTATTCTTTGTGTTAGACCATTGTTTGAGAAAAGCCTGCTTCATTCCTTATACCATTGACAAAAAAAGAACTTGTAAAATATTTTTTGTGCAACTTTATGCAAAAGCAGAAGCAGTAAAACGTCTACAGAACTAAATGTGTGCTGTAGGATTGATCGATTTCCTGCATAAACTCTTGAACAAGCATTTATGAAACCATTTTTGTGGCTATTTTCTTTCTCATTCTATCATAACCACTTTCATTCAGAGAAACTATGTTAAAATGTGGATTTTGCTTGAGATCAAATTAAGACCAACAGCAGAGGCAAGATCCACATCTATGATGCAAATTCCATTAACTAAGAGAAGATTGGGCCAATTCATTTGAAATAACACACCATAATTGCTGTGAGTTCTTGTTTACTGTTTCTCAGCAAAGTAATCATACCGATCATCCCTGCTTACCTGCTTCTGCCAAGCAACTTAACAAACTGGAAAATCAACAGCAAGCAGTCTATTATGCATTACATCTGCACTGGCATTCTTGTCTTTATGTTATGTTACAATATGTCCCAGAGTTGTGTAGATTTGCAAAACCACGGTAATAGCAAACTCAATTGAAACGAGGAACTTCTGACCTATCGAGTCATATTGGAAAATCTAGAAAATGTCTAGGGAGGGCATTTTTTGAAAATGTGGATAAATGAAACTTCAGGTACTGAAGTGGTCATTTATGGTGGTCAGGGTGCATTTTAATTTATTCACATCCCACTTTCCCACTAAAAACATTGCTCAGAATGGCTCTCCTAACAAGTCAGCATCTATTTGGGTGCAATGAGCCAGGAATCTTCATTCAATTGTAGAACACTGCTTAAACTACATTGACTCTTTATCCCAGGACCGATCTGGAGTTTCAGACTGTGGATAAGCCCTGGTGTGGTTTTGACCACCAGCTTCTTAGCTGCAGAGGAGACAGGAAGGAGTCCTGAACGTCCAACAGTGCTGAACCTTTGCCATCCTCCTGGTTCTTGTTGTAGTAGCAGCCAGCAGGCAGGATATAGCTAGTGTCCATCGCTTGTCACCTGGAGTAAGGTTATCAAAGTTTGATGATTTGATGTTCTCAATCAAATGTGCATGGCTACAGCATTAACATTTGTGAAATGTGTGGGAAAGATCTTGGTAACTTACTGAGTTCATGTATGTGAAAATTAAGTTTAATTTCAGTTTGATAGCATATAACAGTGTTTCTCAACCTTCCTAATACCCTGACCTCTGAATACAGTTCCTCTTGTGGTGGTGACCCCCCAACCATACAATTATTTTCATTGCTACTTCATAACTGTAATTTTACTACTGATATGAATTGTAATGTAATGTATTTTCATTCACTGGACCAAATTTGGCACAAATACCCAATACGCCCAAATTTGAATACAGGTGGGGTTGGGGGGGGGGTATTGATATTGTCATTTGGGAGTTGTAATTGCTGGGATTTATAGTTTAGCTACAATCACAGAGTATTCTGAACTCCACCAATGATGGAATTGAACAAAACTTGGCACACAGAACTCCCATGACCAACAGAAAACACTGGAAGAGTTTGGTGGGCATTGACCTTGAGTTTTGGAGCTGTAGTTAACCTACATCCAGAGAGCACTATGGACTCAAACAATGATAGATCTGGACCAAACTTGACAGGAACCCCCAATATGTGTACACTGATGGGGTTTGGAGAAAATAGACCTTGTCATTTGGGAGTTGTAGTTGCTGGGATTTATAGTTCACCTACTATCACCAACAATAGAATTGGGCCAAACTTCCCGCACAGAACCCCCATGACCAACAGAAAATACTGTGTTTTCTGATGGTCTTTGGCAACCCCTCGGACACCCCCTCGTGACCCCCCAGGGGTCCCAACTCCCAGGTTGAGAAACGCTGGCCTATAGCCTTTGGGGAATACCACTTATTGTACCAGGAGCATGAAGCAGATTTAAGAAGGAGGAGGGGGAGGGGGAGGAGGAGGAGGAGGAGGAGAAGAAGAAGAAGAAGAAGAACAACAACAACAACAACAACAACAACAACAACAACAACAACAACAACTTTATTTTTCTACCTTGCTTCCATCTCCCCGAAGGGACTCAGGGTGGCTTACATGGGGCCCAAGCCCAAGGCAGAATACAATTAAAACAAAGCAATAACAATTAAGACAGCGTAAAACAGCGTAAAACAACATAACAATAATAGCTAGCAACCTCTGTATATTTATGTTACTAAAGCACTAGAAGGAGAAAGGGTTTGGAAGAATAGCATATTATATATTATTCCTATTGGTTCTTCCAAAAAAGGAAATATATTATAATTTTACTGAATAGATTGGATTTGATTAGTTGTAGATGGGAAAGACATCAAACAAGCAATTGTTCAGTTTCCTGCTGTCCAAATGACTCCACCGATTGGTTTGTGGTTGTAACAGTAAGATCTAGAAAGGAGAAGTGGAATGAATTATTTTCTGACCTCAGATGGCAAATACTGGACTAACTGAATATGTAAAAACCTAAATTAAATATATCACTTTGTTACTGAGACATGGCATACAACTTTGCTGCTAATTTAACACTTTCATCCTTTACATAAAAAAGAATAACTATGGCAATTTGTCGCCAGATGATTTTATTTTCCTCCCTTGTTTTGTTTAAAGCATGTTAAATTTAGAAGAAACAAAAATATAGTCCACAGCACAGATGGTATTGGTTACACAATGGATCAGATTAGGCTTTATTTCCTCTCACATAGCAAGATGCTGAATCCTCATTTCAGTTGTTGCTAAGTACATGTTAATAGGCATTGTGCTTGAACGTTTGGATGTTATCCCTTTTATTTCAGTAGGGCTCAAATGAACATAACAGGGGTTAGCCGTGGGTTAGCAGCTTGTATCTTAAGTTTATTAAACTATAACTGGTATACATAATGAGATTTACTCTGAAATTCATTAATGAAAATTGTTTAACTGGCTTGAATTTAAAAGCATCTCTATTCTCCTAAAAACAGCTGTTTGTGGCAAGATCTAATCTTTTCTGATGCATAGATGATTATTTAAGTTTATTCAAACAGGATACAAATTGTTTTTTTTTCTTATTGACCAATGAATGTATGTAGTTTCAAATATGTTGCTGTTGATGTTATCTTAAAAGATGGAGGAAACATACAACACAATAGGATTTAAAAAAGTTATTATGAGATATTATTCTCTCACAATATCTACTTGTTTTGCTCTTCTTTTGTATTATATTTATTTTTTCCAGGTTTCTTAGACTGGGTTCCTAAGAAAATGCAACGAGTGGGATGTGTTGAGTTGTTAAACACAGTCCAGAGACGAATACAACCGCGTCTTCATGTTTTTGGACATATTCATGAAGGTCAGAAAGTGTGTATGTATGTGTGTGTGTGTGTGTGTGTGTGCTAGAACCTGACAGAACCCTCAGTTGAGGGTATTTATTTATTTAGTACTAACTGTGCATGCCACGCATTGCTGTAGCCAACCTTCCCTCCCTTTTTCTCTCTCGCCTTCCTTCCTTCTCTCTCTTTCCTTCGTTCCTTCCTTTTTCCTTTCCTTCTCTCTTTCCTTCTACCTCCTTTTTTCTTTTCCTTCTTTTCTCCCTTTCTTCCTTCTCTCCCTCTTTCCTTCTTTCCTTCCTTTGCTCTTTGCTTCCATCCCTCCTACTCTCTTTCCTGCTTTCTTTCCCGCTCTCTCCATTCTTCTCTCCCTCTTTCCTTCCTTCCCTTCTCTCCCTCTTGCCTGGGCACTGGCAGGAAGGAAGCATCACAGCCCTCAGCCTTGCTGCGCCAGGTACGGGGCAGGTGGGAGGCATTTTTTGAGGCAGGCCTTGCTCACCCTTCTTTTTTCTGCCATGGCTGTAGTGCGCCTTCCCACCTGTTTGCCTCACCAAGGAAAAAGAAGGAGGAGGGGTCCCTGTTTGGTGGGGCCAACAGATGACAGAGACTGGGAGGGAAGTAAGTAGGGCCCACGTGAGGTGGAGGAGGGTAGGCCTAAAAGCATGGCTCACTGCTGTGGGATCCTGGGATCCGTAGTTTGGTGGGGCTCCAGTCCTCCTCGGCAGAGATGGCTTCAGCAAGGCCACATGAAAGTACAGCTCCCAGGACCCCATCGCATTGAGTTAAAAGTGGGGCCAAACTGCATCTGTTCTACTGTGTGTGTCTGAGCCACAGCCAGAACCCATGGCTAAGCCTCACTCGGTGCCAGCAGTGATTTCCAGCTTGCAACGGATAGTTGGTGCATTGTTTTTCCTTCGCATGGGAAGGGGGGGAGGGGACATTCGTGCATGCGCTGTTATATGTTCTTGTTTTGGGGGGTTTTAAGTTAATTTGGGGGGGGGGGTTGAGTGAAGGACATAGATTGCTTTGGTTGGTGTCTTGTGTCCATATTTGGGGTGAATTTGCCCACCGGTTTTTTTCTGTTGGGTGGTTTTTTTTTTTTTTTGCACTACAAATAAGATATGTGCAGTGTGCATAGCAATTCATTCATGGGTTTTTTTTTCTTCAAATTTGAATCCGGCCCTCTAACAGTTTGAGAGACTGTGACCTGGCCCTCTGTTTAAAAAGTTCAAGGACCCCTGATGTAGATAAACACACTAGTTCAATCTGTCTGATGATTTAAAGAGTCACTTGTAGATGTTTCGAAGGGCTATTTGTAGCATCCAAGGTTGTGTCAGAGAAGAGTTCTACATCGTGACCAGGTTACAACTAGTAATAAACCTGTTGTCTATATAAATAAAAATGTAATGTTTGTTTGTGGGGTTAACAGAACGCAAAAACCACTGGGCGAATTGACACCAAATTTGGACACAATACACCTAACAACCCAATGTATGTCCTTCACTCATAAAAACACTGAAAAACACAGCAGAAGGGACTTAAAAAGCCCGAAAAGCTAAATGATGAAAAGCTAAATGACAATACAGAAAAAAGGGAAGAAAGAAGGAGGGAAGGGGAGAAAAGAAAGAGGGAGAGAAAGAAAGAAGGAAAGGGAGAAGGAAGCATGGAAGCAAAGAGAGAAGGAAGGAGAGAAAGCGGGAGGGAAAGAAAAAGGGGGAAGGAAGGAAAGTTAGAGAAGGAAAGAGAGAATGAAAGAATAAAGGGAAAGAGGGAGCGAAGGAAGGGGGAAAGATGTAGAGAATGAGGGAGAGAAGGAAAGAGAAGGAAGAAAAGAGAGACAGCAGTAGAGAAAAAGGGGAAAGGAAGGAAAGAGATAGAGAAGGAAGGAAAGAGGGAGTGAAAGAAGGAGGGAAAGAAGAAGAGAAAGAGGGAAGGTTGGCCACAGCAACACGTGGCGGGTACAGCTAGTATGACATAAATTTGAAGTTTCAACAACAATAGCATAATACTTTGTGTATCTTGAGGGATTCAGCATCAGATCAGAGCTGTTTTTCAGTCTACAGGAGGACTGGTTGATTGGTGGATCTTAAGCAGTGCATACAACAACTCATCTGCAGTGGTAACCAAATAAAGTTATAGCCTATTTTCGTCATTTAGTTGAGTTTAAGTGAACTGGTACTCGGCCCGAATGCACAGTCTTCTCTAATGTAAGTTGATTTGAAACCAAATACAGAGAAGTTTATGTATAATTAAGTTCTTCATTTCTTTATTTTTAGGTTATGGAGTCATGGCTGATGGAACTACTACCTATGTGAATGCTTCTGTTTGTACAGTGAATTACCAGCCACTCAACCCACCTATAGTTATTGATTTACCGACTCCAAGGAACACATGATTATTAAAGGACCCAGAGGTGAATCCCACAACATTAGCAGGGGCCTGCTGCTAGGCAACATGATTACTGGACCTGTCTTAAATTATGAAAATATTTTTTCTTCTTTCTTTATGGACAAAATGAAGAGGCAAGAATGGACAGATAGCATAAGCGTTTGGTATCACAGCCTCCTGGAAGTACTTTAATGGATCTTGCGATATATGGCTTTGAAATAACTTTTTAATACATAAAAAGGGTATGCTTTCCACATACAGAGATACATTGGTGCATTTTGTACATTCTGTATGTTATACTGAACGTACTAAAAAGACATGACAATTCAGCAAAATGATTGTTTATGAATGTTTCTAGTTTAATTTGTGAAATGTTAAATAATGGCATCTGATTACTTTAGAAATGGCTTCACAGATCATATGGGCAGATTCAGTTGAAAAGATATGGTGGGTATAGTACAGTACCTTAAACGTTTAAGTGGGGAAAGGAAGCAGAATTCTTATTCTACCGTCTTTCAAATAATCCGTTAAAATAACTAGCAATGTATTATTATTTTATTTCTTTTTGTTTTTGACATTCAAAAGTAAGGTGATACTTGGCTGCTTTCTAAAATGCTGTAAACCGCAGAAACATCAGAAAAAGGTTAATTTAGATTTTTTTTTGTCATGTCAGGAGCGACTTGAGAAACTGCAAGTCGCTTCTGGTGTGAGAGAATTGGCCGTCTGCAAGGACGTTGCCCAGGGGACGCCCGGATGATTTGATGTTTTTATCATCCTTGTGGGAGGCTTCTCTCATGTCCCTGTATGAGGAGCTGGAGCTGATAGAGGGAGCTCATCCGCCTCTCCCCAGATTCGAGATTTAGATGTAAACTCAGGAATATCACACACTCCTCCAAATCCAATTGTGTGTCCCAACTAGAACAGGTGGACTATATACATGGGATAGATGCTGATTTAACATTTGGCATTTGATACAATGGACTAACAATTGTATTTAACCCAAAGAATTTTGCTGTAAAATCTCATTCTGTAACTTTACGAGTAATACAGTTTTATGGCATAGGGTTTATGTATCAGTCATGTCTTCATTCCAGTTTCTCCATTTTTATCATTCTTTGGCAGTGACACTGAACTCATAACTTTATTGAACATAAACCAATTTACGAGGGGTATTTTTTAGGTAAGGTCCGTTGGAACATAAGTACACAACAAAAGTTTATTTCAAAAAAGTAAATTTATTTTCAGAAGGTACATACTTCACTCTATTTTTTGACATAGTTGCCAAGTTTGTTCAAACACTTATCATACCTCTGAACAAATTTTAAAATACCCTCTTCATGAATCCTCGCTTCAACTGAAGCCACCAAATTGTCTGTAATCAAAGAAGGGTGACCGGAGCGGGTCCTCATCATGGACGTTGTCCCGACCATCTTTGAATTGTCGTACCCACTTACGCACTTTGCTTTCACTCATAACAGTATCACCGTACACTTCACAAATCTGTCTATGAATTTCTGCAGCAGGCAGGTTCCTTGCTGACAAAAATCATATCACTGAGCGAACCTCACATGCGGTGTGTGAATTGATAGTCTTAAACATTTTTAAAGCACAGAACAGAACCGTACAGGTTAGCTACAGAGCGGAAACTGAGCACAGTTGTTCCCGAGGCATGCCGGTACACGACGCACGCGCTCGTTGCAGTATGTGCGCGAACTACTAGTGTCTACAACAAAACGGACCTTACTTAAAAAATACCCCTCGTATGTTATATCTGGTGTTTTTTCATTGGGGAGAGTCTCCTTTTTATTACATCGGATATAGCCCTCTGATAAATCAAACATTGAAATTCACTTGAATATGATGTTGAAAGAAGGAAAAACTGAAAACAGCTGTTATGTCCATAAAGGGTAACTGTATGAATGTTTTAGATTAGTTCCAGAGCAAAATCTCTAGATCTGTGCAATCATCTTTGCCACGTCGAAGACAGATCTCAGACGCCATGTCCACATGCAACAAAGCTGGCAAATGCACCTGCTCACCATCTGTACTTCAAAGCTTTGGAGCTGTCCAGATGAGCAGCTAAGAGGCAACATAGGCATGGATTTTAACTGCAGAATTTCAGGATTTGGAGGCTCACAGTCAAATGTGAGAGCTACATGAAGAGATAGACTTTGTTTATGGTACTAAACAGCTGGTAAATTCCACAACATAAAGTATTAGTTGATTTTTCAGAAAAAAACCCCATACATTGTAAAGTTACCATATTTCATCACATAATAGTTGCGCTCCTCTCTTCTTCCTCCAAGGTGAGGCAATTTAAAAAAATTAAAATTGAGTTATCTGGAATTCAGATCTTTCCTCGTTTCTCCAGAGAACTCAATTCCAGGTTTTGTAAACTGCCTTGCATTGGAATAAGGAGAGAAGAGTGAAACTTCAGAAATCTCCATTTTATAGGTTTTAAACTGCCTTGCCTTTGGGGAAAGAAGGAAAAAAAGTAAAAAATCAACCTAAATGGCTCTGTCACTATTTTTATTTATTTATTTATTTCGAACATTTCTACCCCGCCCTTCTGAACCCCTGGGGGGACTCAGGGCGGCTTACAATTGGCAATAATTTAATGCCACATCATAAAATACAAAATACAGAATAACAAATAACAATTAACATGAACATTAATAAATAAAGATTAAAACAATATACTTACACTCTGATTAGCTATTGCCTGTCTGGTGGCTGTTTAGCTAGCCATCTACTAATGAATACTCCGCTTAACTTATCCAAATCCTCTTCCATGCCATAGTCAAACATTATTAATTGTCCTTTAACTTGATTGCCCGAAGGCCTGGTCCCACAGCCACGTTTTTACCTTTTTTCTAAAGGTGAGGAGGGATGACGATGATCTAATTTCCCCGGGGAGTAAATTCCACAGGCGGGGGGGCCAACACCGAGAAGGCCCTGTCCCTCGTCCCCGCCAAGCATGTTTGAGACAAAGGCGGGGCGTAGAACAGGGCCCCCCCAGATGATCTTAAACTCCGAGGTGGGACGTAGAAGGAGATACGTTTGGACAAGTACGCTGGACCGAGCCGTATAGGGTTTTATAGGTCAAAACCAGCACTTTGAATTGTGCTCGGAATTGGATCGGCAGCCAGTGGAGCTGGCACAACAGGGGGGTGGTATGCTCCCTGTATGACGCTCCGGTGAGTAATCTAGCTGCCGCCCGTTGGACTAATTGCAATTTCTGAACAGTCTTCAAAGGCAACGCCATGTAGAGTGCATTCAAGTAATCTATTCGGGATGTGACAAGAGCGTGGACCACCGTAGCCAGATCCAACTTCCCAAGGTACGGGCGCAGCTGGCGCACGAGTTTTAATTGTGCAAAAGCTCCCCTGACCACCGCCGAGACCTGGGGTTCCAGGCTCAGCGATGAGTCCAGGGTCACTCCCAAGCTGCGAACCTGCGTCTTCAGGGGGAGTGTAACCCCGTCTAACACAGGCTGTAACCCTATGCCCTGTTCGGCCTTACGACTGACCAGTAGGACCTCTGTCTTGTCTGGATTCAATTTCAATTTGTTAGATCTCATCCAGTCCAACACAGCAGCCAAGCACCAGTTCAAAGTATTTTATTCATTTTATTCAAAGTATCATTAGTATTTTGTGAGGAAAACAAAAATATTATTTTTGGCACACACAAAAATGGGAATATGACTATTATACAGTGAGACTATTATGTGATGAAAAATGGCATCAATTCTTTCTACATTGATTTTTGTTCACATGTGAAGGTAAACAGAAATGTAACATTATGCAGAAAAGTTACAGCAAATCAAGCTATATGTGAAAGGAGATGACAGTTATTTTTGGCCACAGGTCCAAGAAGAAAGATTTGCAATCATAAAAATGGCTTCCAATTCCCAACATGTCCAAACCTAGTTCATGCTAATTTTCTGGGTATGATTGCATGTTTTCCCACACAAAAATGTGGAAGAATGGTACATTTGGAACCATTCGAAATGTGACTATCTTTAAAAGCTAGTTTTGTTCAGTGACGAATCAATAGAAAAAAAAATCTCTTGATTTCCTCATAAAGGAACCTAAAATGTTTACATTTTCTCACAGCACTTAAAAGGAGGTGGAGCATACTATTTTAAAAAGAGGCCTTTTCCCTTTTTTGCCTCGAGAAACATTTCTGTGTCAATGAAAAGATACCCTCTGAAGAATATTTTTCCTGAGGTACTTTCTTCCAAATAGTGTGTATTTTTATGTGGGAATGAGATGAAAGCAACTATTACCTTTAAAAGGAAATATTGCAAAGCTTTTAAAATGGCAAAAGTTTACAAGTACTTTGAATCATTTTGGCATAATTGGATTGTTGTTGTATTTTTCTGTCAAGCATGTTAAGCCAATAAAATCTTATAAAACAAATATTAATTGTGTTTCGCATTAATATTACAATTGCACTCATTTTTTAAAAAATAAACACTTATTATTTTTTTAAAAACATGTTATTCATGGAAAAAGCCAAAGGGTGATGAAGTTTCAAACCAATAAAGACGAGCTTTCCAAACATTTATCTATCTATCTATCTATCTATCTATCTATCTATCTATCTATCTATCTATCTATATATCTATCTATTTATTTGCGGCATTTATATGTCACCGTTCTCACCCCGAAGGGGACTCCGAGCAGCTTAAATGTCGTAAATACATAAATAAATAGATTACAACTACAACTACAGCACATTTAGATTTTGAATCCCTAGTTCACCTAGTGCAGTGTTTCTCAATCTCGCTAATGCCACGACCCCTTAATACCGTTCCTCATGTTGTGGTGACCCCCAACCATAAAATTATTTTCGTTACTACTTTAATAACTGTAATACTGTTCTGAATCGTAATGTAAGTATCTGATATGCAGGATGTATTTTCATTCTCTGGACTAATTTGAATAATGGTAGGGTGGAGTTGGGGGTTGATTTTGTCATTTGGAAGTTGTAGTTGCTGGGATTTATGGTTCACCGGCAATCAAAGAGCATTATGAACTCCACCAATGATGGAATTGAACCAATCTTGGCACACAGAACTCCCAAATACCAACAGAAAATACTGGAAGGGTAATACAGTTCCTCATGGTAATACAGTTCCTCATGTTGTGGTGACCCCTAACCATAACCATAACCATGGTGACCCCTAACCATGGAAATGGCTGCATTGCAGTGACTGCATTAGGTGGCACAATGGGTTAAACCAGTGGTTCTCAACCTTCCTTATGCTGCGACCCCTTAATACAGTTCCTCATGTTGTGGTGACCCCCAACCATAACATTATGTTCGTTGCTACTTCATAACTGTAATTTTGCTACTGTTATAAATTGTAATGCAGGGTGTATTTTCATTCACTGGACCATTTTTGGCACAAATACCCGATACGCCCAAATTTGAATAATTGTGAGGTTGGGAGGAGGGATTGATTTTGTTATTTGGGAGTTGTAGTTGCTGGGATTTATAATTCACCTACAATCAAAGAGCATTCTGAACTTGATCAGTGATGGAATTGGACCAAACTTGGCACACGGAATTCCCATGACCAACAGAAAATACTGGAAGGGTCTGGTGGGCATTGACCTTGAGTTTTGGAGTTGTAGTTCACTACATCCAGAGAGCACTGTAGACTCGAACAATTATGGCTCTGGACCAAACTTGGCATGAAAACTCAATATGCCCATATGTGGAGTTTGGGGAAAATAAACCTTGACATTTGGGAGTTGTAGTTGCTGGGATTTATAGTTCACCTACAATCAAAGAGCAATCTGAACTCCACCAACGATAGAATTGGGCAAACTTCCCACATGTAACCCCCATGAGCAACAGAAAATACTGTGTTTCCTAATGGTCTTTGGCGACCCCTCTGATACCCCCTCGCGACCCCTCCAGGGGTCCTGACCCCCAGGTTGAGAAATGCTGACCTAGTGGAAAGAAGTGGGAAAAGAATGACATAGGCTGGATCTTCCCTGCCCAGGACACGATCCCAGATCTGCTTATCCCAGATTATCTGGCAGTGTAGACTTATATCAGGCATGTAGCCGGGGGGGGGGGGGGGGTTGGGGGGTTCAGCCCCCCCCCCGAAATTCTCAGGGTGGTCTGCGAGAAGGCCTTACTGTACATTATTTAAACTGTTATGTTTATTCATATCATGATCTGATCACCATGCTCAATATATCCCATATGCATGGGAGTATTGGGGTAACGATACAAAAGGTTTGCTAGGGTAGACCCTCTTTCACTCAGACTCAGCCCCCCCCAAAAAACTCAGCCCCCCCCCCCCCGAAACAAAATCCTGGCTATGGGCCTGACTTATATAAAAGTTTCTCCCAACTTTTTTTTTATTTCTGATCTTGACTTTCCCTGTTTCTGTCTTTGGATCTTGATGCATTTGCCAACTTGATAGGATGACTTACCTTACTTAGGCGATCCCTCGTTGTCCGAGTAGGATTGACTTCCAAGATAGGTGTACTGGCAGTGGGTTCATAGGTCGGGGTTGGCTTGATGTGCCTTCCTCTTGGCACATTTCTCTTTTTCATCCTCCATTCATGCCTCTTCAAATTCTACAGCACTGCTGATCACAGCTGACCTCCAGCTGGAGTGCTCAAGGGCCAGGGCTTCCCAGTTCTCAGTGTCTACGCCAGAGTTTTTAAGGTTGGCTTTGAGCCCATCTTTAGATCTCTTTTCCTGCCCACCAACATTCCGTTCTTGAGTTCAGAGTAGAGCAACTGCTTTGGAAGACGGTGGTTGAGCATCCGGACAATGTGGCCGGTCCAGCGGAGTTGATGGCGGAGGACAGTCGCTTCAATGCTGGTGGTCTTTGCTTCTTCCAGCATGCTGACATTTGTCTGCTTGTCTTCCAAAGAGATTTGCAGGATTTTTCGTAGGCAATGCTGATGAAATTGTTCTAGGAGTTGCATGTGATGTCTGTAGATAGTCCACATATAGGCATATAGCAGGGTTGGGAGGACAATAACTTTATAAACAAGCACCTTGGTATCTCTACGGATGTCTCAGTCCTCAAACACTCTCTGCTTCATTCGGAAAAATGCTGCACTCGCAGAGCTCAGGCGGTGTTGTATTTCAGTGTCAATGTTGACTTTTGTGGAGAGGTGGCTGCCAAGGTAGCGGAAATGGTCAACATTTTCTAATGTTACACCATTTCTAATGTTACACCATATCTGGCATTGGAGAGGGATTGGCTGGTGACTGCTGGAAGAGCACTTTGGTTTTCTCGATGTTCAGTGACAGGTCAAGCTTCTCATATACTTCTGCGAAGGTGTTTAGAGTGGCTTGTAGGTCTTCTTCTGAATGATGTTGTCATCAGCATATTGGAGTTCTATAACAGATGTTGTTATAACCTTGGTTTTGGCTTTCAGTCTGCTGAGGTTAAAAAGCTTGCCATCTGTCCAATAGATGATTTCCACTCCAGTTTACCACCTAAACAGAAATAAGAATTTCCTGGTCATAAGAGCTGTTCAACAGTTGCTTGGAGTGTGAGGGAGCCTCCTTCTTCACAGACTTCTAGAGGCTGGATGGCCATCTTTCAAGGGTGCTTTGATTGTCCTTTTCCTACATGGCAGGGAGTTGGACTGGTCTCTTCAAATTCTATGAATCTATGGTTCTGTGTAAACAGCTTATACAATATGACTGCTGTCATGAATCTAACCTTTTGCCAGGAAGGCCGAAGCCTGGAAAGTCAGTAGCTGACATGTTGAGAGATAGGCAGGAGAGCTAAGAGGCAAGAGGGAGGAGTCAACCGACTCCTGATTGGCTAGAGCAGTCAGGGGAGGAGTTAGGTTTGAGAGGGGAAAAAGGCTGTCTTATTTGACAAGCTGGAGAGAAGAGCTTTAAACATCGAAGAGTGTAGAAGGATAGTTAGGAAGAGGAAGCTGAGAGGAATTTAGACAGGGAGAACTTTTGAAGTGAGCCTTGAGGGTTAGAGCATAGGAAAGGCATAGGTTCCTGGTTCACTGTATATAGAAGGGTCAGTGAAGGAAAGCCTATTTTGCTCTGTGAGACAGTCAGTGGGCTGTTCTCAGTGGCACACTGTGTCAGTGTAAGGGCCAGTGTGAAGTAAGGAACTCACAGGAAACAAAAGTTAAAGTCTTAAGAAAAGATTGCTTGTCTAAACAGCTAAACCTCAGTTACAGCATTACGCTTTTGTACCACTCCTATGAAGAGTTGATTTGTTCACCAAGTTTAAAATAAA